TAACTTCTGCCTTCTGCCTCTTACTTTAAATGTAGCATTAAAAAAGTTTAAGACTATTTTCAAACGATATGATGGTCTTAAGATTCACGGGTGAATGGCAACCCAAACGCAATAAGCTTCAAAATTTAACTGTTTTGTGAAACATGTTCCCTTTGTCAGCGACATGCACGGATACTTAACGACGAACTGCAAATTTGACTCTGCCTTGTTCTTTAAGCATAAATTTGACGGAGAAAATAGTATATTCCGCCTTGCAGTACGACTCGCAAAAGGCAAAAATTTGAATAGGTTTACAATATATGAACGTAAACATGTCTCCCAAATATCCTCACCGGTGATTCAGCGAAGTCTCTGCCAGTGGGATAGTTCAACCCGAAGTTCCGGAGACGAAACACTCGTGAGGACATATCCATCGTTGACCGGCGACGTCGGTGACCATCTGGTAGTATTAATTGTTCCGTGTGATAGTCACGAGTTGTTGTCCTTATTCACTTCCTGTCACATAATGTTTACATTAGGTCACGGCCTAAATAAATTCTGCACTACGCGAAAGTATTTGTCTCGGACTATTTGTGTACTGGGAATCATTCCACCCTCCCCCCCCTCTTCCCCTCACAGTGAGCTAGATACTATCTAGTACAGAGTGATACTAATACTAACAGAGGTTAATCAGCTTTTTTTTTTTTTTTTTTAATAAAAGGACTGTTCACAGTGAGGGATAAACCAAATCATTGCAAAGCGTGCGACCCAGGCCAGTGGGAAGATTTTGGAAGAGCCGCCGGAGTCGAGGAAAGGTTTGCAGAGGGGCTGGCACGGTGCTAGACCACTTACGAACCTTTCACCGACTCGCGACTTGCTCAAGGCCTCATATGTTGAAGAACTGGCTCGTACCGAAGCGTTATAAGCCATCATTATTAGTGACGCAGGACACGCGCGAAGATTTGAGACGTGTCGCCCGAGTCGGGGAGAGGTTTCTGGGTCTTTGCCGAGGGGCTGACACCGTGCTTGACCACTTCACTAAAGACCTATACCCGGTTCGCGTTTTCGAAGTACTGGCTCATGCCGAACCGAGGACCAGCTCGCAGGCTAAACATTGCATAATGACAACGTATGCAAGTGAGCTTTATTTCTGGCTTGAATCAAAACAATTCAAAGTCCTTATTATGCTGATGACGACAGCGTTATTAATAAATTGCACTAAAAAAGACGTAATCCTTAAATTGAAAGCAAAACTGAAGCACGTAAGTTGAATCGATTAGCGTTTGAAGGCACTTAGAAATCTAGCAAAAATAGAATGCAAAATCTAAACTTTTATGAAGAAGTGTTCAGTTCCACTGATTCAGGTTCTTGTTTCCTGTGGAAGCCGGTTTTCACAAGCAAAAGCACATGCGTAACAGCTCCGAGTCTTATTTCACCACAAAAACGGTCTCGACGCAAGTATAAACACTAGCGCAACCAAGAGCACAAGCACAAGGATCAAGTTTTTTTCCTTTTTCTTGTGCCAGTGCTTTTGCTTGTTGACGTTTGTTTTCTTTTGGCATATTAACCTTATGATTTCGTTTGTGCTCTCGCTTATACTTACGTCGCTAATGAAAACTATAGTCTTGACTGTTCAAATCAGTCGATTCCGAGAGCAGTTCAACTTCAAACGCAGCTTATAAAGTCCAAACAGAAGCAACTGCGACATCACATTACCAACAAAAAGAAACAAGCAAATAGTTATAACAGCTCTCCTCGGATGTCCACTATAATCAAGGGCAGAGTAAATGTATGGGTGTCCAGATGGATCTGTTTCCCCACAGGCCCAGTAAATAATGGAGAATATTAAATAAACAGTGATGAATATGATGGGGTAGATAATGTGCAATAACTTAACTGGAATAGAGCTTACCATGGTGTCGATAGCTATTAACACAGAGTTCAAAGCATGTGTGTTAAACGTAACAAAGTCAAAATGTTGTCCAGGTATATAAACTAGGCTCCAGAACATCACGGTCACTGGGAAGGCAATGTTTGAAGCGATATCACAAATGATCCAGGATACCTTGCAGACTAAAGGCAGTTGTAGCTCGACACTGAACATGAATGGTACGTGATCAGAGTTACCATCGCATTCACTTTCTTCATCGTATTCTTCGTCGTCTCCGCAGCTTGTTGCGTTACCGTTACGCGGCTGTAGCGCTTGATAATAACACACAAGAAACGCTTGAGTGACAAAGTGTAAATTAACGAACGTGTAGCTCCAGTTCGTAAGGAAGATCAACCATTTCAGACCCTGGTTTTGCCTCTCAATCACCCCAAGCACTGTCATTGCTGTAGTGTACAATGCAAGGAGCACTCGGTATACAATGAAAGCGCGGCCAGTTAGCCACTGAGAAGGGAAAAATTATAACAAAATAACTGAAACGCTCCACAGAAACTTATACAAGGTGTTACGAAGTTCATGAAGGGAAACAGAAGACTACTTTAACGACATATTGCGGTGACCCTTTAACCTGACTTAACGGAGAAGACTGTCAAACGACTGCCATGTTTCAATCGAAAGCGACGTCATATTTACCAATTGGTTCATGCTTTAGCGTGCACTATCGCGTTATGGAGCACGCGGATGTTTTTCTCTTTTTCTGCCTCATTTAAGAACTTCAGCCCAAGGGATAAGATCGAAACTTTGTCTTCGTTTTCGGACTAGTAGGCCGAGTTTCTGTTTGTATCCATTATTGTCGCGAAATATATTATTTTTCCCCGCGCTAACAATGGCCGCTCGCGCGACAAAAAGAATTTCTGGTGAAGCGATTTGCTGACGCTGTCAGCGTGCACTGTCGGGATTTTGAGCACGCTTACGTATATTGAATTTCATTGCGCGGTTCTCCTAGCTATGTTCTAAATTTCCATAGCAAGTTGGAGCGTGTTACTAGAGGTATGATACAGAATTGTTAGAAGTCACTTCTATGATAGGCTCATTTCCCATTGTCTAATTGAGGTTTCTACTCGAAAAAAAAAAAACCAGCAACAACGCACAGGTCGACCTACGAGGTTGTTGAATCAACGATAAAAATCTGCCTCCAACCGGTTACGTTTAGTCAGTCACGAGGTCTCAAAAGTGACTCAACTGCAGATCAGAACGAAAGGTCGCTCTGCATCCGACGTCATTTAACCACCATCGGCAATTGCTGAGGAACTTACCATCGACGAAGAAAAATCAGCTCTGTCTGCGTCACATGGCCACAGATTTCTACGACGAAACTGCTCTTTCAAAGATAAGCACATGATTTGTTTCCACATAAAAGTTCACAGAGCTCAGAAATGAGGAACCCGAAACTGAAAGAAATGGTTTTCATCTGAGTCTGTGACATCATCAAAGTAACATAATTAACCGTCACCCACGACGAGTCAGCGGATTATTTTTCGACTTTTGTCAGAGCAGTGACGTCTTGCTGAAGTTCACGGATGCCGGCACAATCAAAAGGTTTTAAAGTGGTAGACGTGTGAGCAACCAGAATTAGCACAATGACTGCTCTCTGTTCCTGCCTGAGTGGAGTTCACTATGTTTCCAATGCATGACACTTGGCTGACAAGGCCTTATGAAAGCGAAACTGTGTTAAACTACTTTTCAAAGGACAGAATCATTTACTCAATATAACATCGCGTTATATGTTAGCATGGCGTGACAGTTTAAAACGCCGACTCCTGAAATCGTCCTATTAAAAAAAATTGTCCTCTTTCAAACAATCTAAGATTTAAGTAAAATGAACTCGAATCTGAGAATGTTTTTCTCTAATTTTTCGGTGGCTAGAACGCTGTATAAATAGTGTTTTAAATCTTCTCAATGTTTGAACATTTTTTGCATGGCAAAAAATCTGAATGGAACAAAACTTGCCTTATGTATTTTTTGCTCAGACGAAGTAACTTGGAAATCTTTATATCGCGGTGTGGAGACCATATGAATAATCTGTTTTAAAAAAATTATGGGACTAAAAACCCATAATTTGCCTGTTAACATAAAACATCTTAAAAACCGGAATCCATTCATGACATGCTTCAGCTGGATGGTATAAAGAAAGAAACAAGCCTTTCGAGGGAGACAAAAATCGCCATTGTAATGGTCTCGAGTATTAGGCAAAGTCTCCTTTTTTCTGCATAATACGTTAGATTAAAAGTGTCAGTCTCATTTATGTTAATCAGGCGACGTTGATGACGTCAGAAATGCGTTGTATACACCTGTTTGTCGTTTCTTGTTATCATCATTTATCTTCCGTTCGCATTATTTCAATATCACAACACTCCGCTCCTCTGTATAGCGCTGCTATGGCCACTTGATCAGTTCCAATTCATTTTGTCGCTTTGTTTTCGCGTGTCAAGTTATACTGCACTGTTGGCACCTAACTGTTCCAACTGTCACTGCATGGCGCAGCGAACAAATTTCATGCTACCTGAAAATTGAGAACAAATCCGATCACTGAGCCGAGGAAGCACTTCACTTCATAAATTTGAAGTTTACCGAAGACTGAGTATCAATAAGGAGATAATTTTTGATCTTTTTCAGATGACTTGTGCCGCTTACAATTTTTAAGATAAAATAAGAAAATTCATGGCGGCTACAGCAAGACGTATTGGACTATCGACCCGCTTCGGAAGAAAAACATCGAGAGAGGATGACAGTAGCATTTGTAAGTCAAGAAAAAGCAGTTCTGGGAGACAAATATTACGGGAAGAAAATATAAATACTTTCTCTGTCAGAAATTCATCTAGAGGATTTCAAGAAGGCGAAAGTTACCGCCCAGCAGCTGTAGAAACGGCGCATTCTATTTCACGACCAGAGGCTCATAGTTCATTCGATACAAAAGGAACAACAGTCAGGCGGAAGATATCCGTGTATGCTCGTCCTGAGTCACTTGAGAGGAAAGTTAACCCGCAAGGGACAAGATGGCAAGAATTTTTGATGAGATATGAACCGATAATCTTATCCACTTTGGTCTTATTGATTGTGTCTGTTTCTCTATACATCGTGTTCGTTGAAAGGCAAAGTTTGTTTTCAAAATAAGAGATTTAGTCGGTGATTAAAACCCCTGAGCTACAGTAATTTTAATTACTGGTTCTCCCAAAGAAGACTTACAATGTTTCTTACAGGTTGAAAAATCATGTGATCTCCTCTACCGTACAAATTACTAAAAAAAAATTAGTAGAGAAGAAAAATTTTATCAGTGCTAAATAAAAATCGCTTGAGAAACGATGATTAATTTTTCTGTAGAATCCACAAAGTCTGGTCGAGAAACACAATAAGCGAACGCAAATGGAGATTTCTCTTCAATTTAGCTCACCAACTGAGTTGACATTTAGATCAAGTTTGTTTTTAGCAGACAGACTGTTCAGATTCTCAGACCAATCCTGGCAACGTGCTGTGTACCTGTACTTCTTTTGGGGAGCCATTTGAATAATTATCAGATATTTTCATTTTACGAAAAATTCGCGCAGCTGAACATCATTGAACTTGAAAGCGTTTGTGTATGTCAGAGAAGTTATTTGATCTTGTCCTTGTCAGCTCCATCTCATTACAATCTCAGCGAACAGCAATGTAGCAAACAAAACAATCAAATAATCACAACAAGACATGTACAGTGAACGATCAAAAGAACGATGGAAAGAACAAGGTATTGCTGTAAGCATTCATTCGATGCTGATGTATAGAGAAGTGACCACGGCAAGCTATCAGCAGATAGGCGTTGAATACCAAACAGTAAAATCCTGGGGTATGAAATTTTCTCATTCATCATGCGATTTTCCAGCGGGTACGAAGGGGAGGGGGCAGTCGTCGCTAACAGAGGTTGAATTCCAGTGAAAGGGGATTATAGCACTATTATTACAGAACTAAGGGGGGAACATGTAAATTTTGTGACTGACCCCACCACCCCTAAGCAATAAATGATACTCCGTCTTTTGGAATTGCAGAAATTTCAACACGAAGTTGAGACATATGTCAGGTCAGATGAAGGCAATGCGAACTTCGCTGAATGGTGTAAGCGGACTAGAACATATCAGTCCAAGAAGTTGACGAGGGTCCGAACTCTGACTTAATAGTTCACTTAGCTCGGATTCAACTCAGGAATCCACACTCGACTTTTTCCAGTCCCTCGCAAGTTAAATGTATTGTCGTGATTTTGTTTTAAGTCGTTACGAAATAAGAGAACGTGTTATTAAGATTGACATTTTTAAAGACGTGTCGCCTAGATGTGATTTTCATTAAGCACTACGACAAAAATAGGTTCATAGTAGACGAAAAAAGAAATCCATCGAGACAAAAGGTACAAACGAACTGATCTTCAGTTCACTTAAGATTCCAATCAAACACATATAACAAGCTGCAAAGGTTTCGTACTCCAAAAATATGAGTCCTTAAACAGTGTAACGAAACATCTCGCTCGTTATTGTG